CGCTGCTCCCCACCCCGTCCCGGGCTTCTGCCCCCCTCTCTCTCCTCTCAGCTCTCCCCCTGTTCCTTCCTGATCCCCCCCCCCCCCCCCCCCCCCCGCCCCAAAACAAAACCCCACCTTGTCACCATTTCGTTCCCGTCCTCACCAGTAACTCTGTTTCATTGCCCCTTTCTAGATCTTTCCCTTACTTCCATCATTTCTGTCCTGTGTTTCTCCATCTCTGCCCATGTCTCTGCTCTCCGTGGCTCTGGCTCTTGGTCTCTTCCCCCACAATCACAGGTGGCCATGTTCAGGGACGGGTCCTGTCCTCCTGGTCCCTGGTCCCGGCCAGTCCACACCTGTCCAGCTCGCCCTGATCTGCTTGGATTGATCTGTCATCCCCTCTAGACCGCAACCTGAATCCTGCCGGTGTCTCAGCCCCCACCCACAGTCTGGTACACCTCAGGTGCTCCACCACCAGCGGGTGGGCGTGTCCGAGGCTTGGGTGGGGAGAGGGGATGGCACCAGTTCAGGCATGGCCTGCTTGCTTTCCTTTGCTTTATTTTATTTAAGAAAAAAAAAATCCCTCCCCACCCTTCCTATCTCCAAATTTGATCCAAAGGAAATTGCTCAACTGTGACTGCCAAGGTGTTACCATGGTTACTGGGTAGCACTTGTGGCTATGGTAACAGGAAGCTAGCTGCCTGTTGTCTCGGCAACGAAGGGATGGAGTGGCCCCTGATTGGTGCAGAAGCAGTGCATTTCCTGAGGGGAGGGGTTCAGATCATCACCTTCTCAGGCCAGTTGGGCATCAGCACCCCTTCCTCCCAAGAACGGGAAGGTCGCTGTTCTTTCCTCCTGGCTCTCAGCTGTCTGCCTCTCCCCCCCCTCCCAACCCCAAACAATAATCCCTCACAACCCACGCACCCAGCTCTTGGCAGTTTACCAAGACCTTTTGCCTCCCCATTACCTCATGTGGCCCCCACAACACCCATGAGAGGAAGGTGAGATGGGGATTCAATCATGAATTCACTTAGGGTGGTTGGAGGTGGGGGGGCGTGGGGGGATGGGGGAGGCAAATGCTAAAATCACCTAGGACCTTTTTCAAAATAATACAGTCCCTCAAGTTAAGAATCCAACATGGTCCCCAGGTGATTAAACCACCTCTGATTAGGGAGCCCTTGAATTAAAAGGCAAAGCTGGTTGGAGTTGGGGGTAGGGGGGGGCGAGGGAGAAGCAAAGCTGCTTTCCAGTTTTGGAACTGGAATCAGGTTTGGGAGGAGAGACAAGCCCTGGTTTGGGTGTGTGGAAGGGAAGATGGCCAGCAGGCCTGGTCTAAGTCAGGATGTCCAGCAAGCAGCTGGGAACATGGGTCTGGGGCCCAGGAGAAAATTGTGAGCTGAGAGATGCCAAGTTCTGAGTCATCTTGGTGGGTCACAGCTGGGGATGTGGGTGTGGGCGAGACTATCTAGGAAGAATGAATGGGAAGAGCGAGCTGAGCGAGAATTAGGATGGCACCCTGGACAGGACAGGCATCCTCAGGGGAAGGGAAGCTAGGGAGGGAGTAGAGGGGGTAGGGTGGAGATGGGGCATGGGAGGGGGTCTCTCCAATGGAGGAGTTGGGGATGAGAGAGTGGCTTCCTTCAAAATCATACAGCCATGAAACGGAGGAGTTGGCAGGTAGCATAGCACCGGATCAGATCCCCGATTGTTTAATCTCAGTAACACATAGCATGATGTCCTCTGTTGCAGACATAAAACACAAATGTGCAGTATTGATCACACTCTCCCTCCTCCCCGCCCCCACACCAACTCCTTACTAACTCCGAGAGCCCGGGAGACAGGCCTCCCTGGCAGACAGCCCAAAGCTTCAGCCATCCAGCTCCCTGCCACCCACCCTTCAGGCCCTAGAAGTTTCTCAATTCTTGAGTTGAAGGAAGGTGTCTTGGAGAAAATCTACAATTCCAGTGGGAGTGGAGGGACTAAGGGTCAGATCCTGAGGAGGCTGGGGAGGTGGGGTGGGGATGGCCAGGCCCAGGCTTCATACTGAATGGCTTGTATTCATCCGGTGTCTTGCAGATGAATCGTCCGATCCAAGTGAAGCCAGCTGCCAGTGAGGGCCGAGGAGGTAACTTCCCCATCTGACAGATCTCGGGGCCTCACCCCTGCAGGGGGTGGTGGGTTCACTCCTGGAGTCAGGGGATAAGCGGGACCCACAGCTGTACATTCCCGTACACCCCCAGAAACAACACAGCCATTCTGAAGAGGGCTGGGGCTCTGGAGAGCCTAGAAGAAGAGAGCTCTCCCACTTCACCCCTGCAGAACAGATGTTCCTATTTAGCCAGGTAGAACTGACAGGTGCATTCGAACCATCAAGCTGGGGTTATGCTCATTTTCTAGATTCTTCTGTTTCCAGAGAGCCTGTCTGTTCTGGGTTAAGGCACATTTGCTCACTGGAATGGTGTGGTTAATCATGGTGTTGCTCAAGCTTGGCTGAGGTGACCTGTTTGAGAGCCAGAGTGAGGATCCTGACTCTATTCTTGCCAGGGCGGGGGTTAGTGGCTCCCCAAGAACAGGAGTGATAGAGAGCTTTGGAGTGACAGCTGGATTCCAGCCAGTCTCCATGCTACAAAGTCAGCGCTGGCTTTTTGCGTCCATTCTCAGGGTCTTTCTCAGTCTGGATCACCCATTAACTAATTGATTCTTTTTGTTTGTTTGTTTTGCGGTGCTGAGGATTGAACTCATGGCCTTGCACTTGCTAGGCAAGTGCACTTCCCCTGAGCTAACTCAACCCACCAACCCATAATTACATTTTTAAAATGCAGCCTAGTCTGCCATTGAATTTAAGACCCTCAGCCTTCCTGAGTACTGTTGGGATTATAGAAGCCATGCCTGGCTTAGTATTATTGTTTTGTCTGAATCTTCAAATTTAAAACCTCCTCTATGGAGTTTAACATGTATTTTGAGTTTTCGCTCTCCTTTTATCTTGAAATTTGGTTCAACTCAAAAGTTAATTATTTGTTATCATATGTGTTGTTTGTGATTTATGCCTGGATTGGCAAGGGTTTGCTTAAATATTGGCCTGGATTTTGAGTAATAACATATATTCCTATCAATTTCAAATTCTTTCTAGGATTCTACTTTACTTAGTATTTAATAACTAAATTTTGAGTGAGTTGCTCACTATTAGCATATTTGAGTACAACCAATTTTTTTCCAGTGTTGACTTTGTATCTTACAACTCTGCTAAATTCATTTATTAATTCTGGCAGATTTTTTTTAAAACATTCTAGCCCACTGGGTGCCGGATGGCTCATGCTTGTAATCCTAGCTCTTCAGGAGGCTGATATCTGAGGATTATGGTTTGAAGCCAGCCTGGGCAGGAAAGTCCATGAGACTCTTATCTCCAATTAACCACCAAAAAGCTTGAAGTGGAGCTGTAGCTCAAGTGGTAGAGAAAAAAATAAGCCCAGATACAACACCCAAGCCCTGAGTTTAAGCCCCAGGACTGGCACAAAAATAAAATCCCTCTTGATGTTTATCATATCTGGTCAGAAGACTCTCTTTATCCTGGATATTTCCTTCACTTCCTTAGTCTTCTTTTCTTATGCCGCCATCATCATCACTAACAACTCCAGAAGGAGTGTTTTGCTCCAAGTATGGTCACTAGCAGGACTTTCTAGGCTAGCAAGCAGGGATTGATTTGGTAGTTGGTGCTCTAAGGCTGACACCTTTCCCTACAACTGTCTCTGTAATCAAGGCATACGATCATCGTAGAAATGAGTAGGTCTCTGGGGCCTGAAAACCAGAAACTTAAATATATCAGGCAAAGCCTGCTTTCTTGAGCAGCATCCTGGTATCCTTTTGGAAGAGGGTAAACTGTATCTACTCTGGATTTCTGGCCTCTCAATTCTGTCATTTGCTGCATTAAAATCCCTGACCTAGGCTGGATGCTGATGGCTCACACCTGTAATCTTAGCTACTCAGGAGGCTGAGATGTGAGAATTGCAGTTCAAAATCCTTAAGACTCATCTCCAATGAATCACCAGAAAACTAGAAGTGGTGCTGTGGCTCAAAGTAGCAGAGCACTAGCCTTGAGGGAAAGAGCTCAGGGACAATGCCAAAGCCCAGAGTTCAAGCCCCATGGCCAACCTCCCCCCCCCAAAAAAATCCCTGACCTAGATGATCAGCTACACAAAGATCCCAAGCTTTCCTTGGGTTTGAAAACTTTGGTAAGAAAGAGCAAGGAGTGTTGCCAATAGGCAGATACAGTGATACCACTGGATCATGACTTTTCAACTATGTCTCAACCTCACAGCTCTGCTGCCTTCCAGTTCCTTACAAACCAGGAAAGTTGACTCCCGTAGCTGATATTTTGCATGTGTTCAGTTTTCTTGGGGCTCATCACCACAGGCTGCTTCTCCCCCCGACCCCATCCCCCAGTCCTGGGGCTTGAACTCAGGGCCTGGGCACTTTCCCATTAGCTACTTTTGCTCAAGGTTAGCACTCTACCACTTCAGCTACAGCGTCACTTCTGGCTTTCCCTGTTTCTGTGGTACTGAGGAATCAAACCCAGGGCTTCACGCATGCCAGGCAAGCACTCTACCACTAAGCCACATTCCCAGCCCCCAGGGCTGCTCTTCTCCAGATATTTCTTTCCTGTCTTCTTGGGTTTCTGAACAGACTCTGCTTTATCTGCTGTCTGGAGCACTATTCCCCATCTTCTTGGCCAGTGATTTCAAAGATCTTTCCCACATTCTGAGAGCTGAGGGAAGATCCAGCAGATGGTATCGCAACCCCTCTTTCCAGGTTTCCGTTGAAATATTTCCACTTTTCTCTTACATTCTGAACTTCCTCCTAGTATTTTCACTGAAGCCATGTATTCCATCCCTTTTTTTCTTCCTGCAAGATTGAGGGAGTCAATGATCTGTTTTAAGGGCTCTATTCTGTGGCTAACAACCCCTGAAGCAAAGATTGGATTGGAGTCTTACTACAACCGGGCAGTACCTTCTCCAGAATTCCATCCCCTTCTCCCTCAGATCTCTGGACTCTGTTTCTCTGGACTGCCAGCAGGATTCTGCTGAAATACCTTCTGCCTGCCATATTTCAACTGCAGTCCTGCCCCTCTCCCCTCCACACAGAAACAGCATCAGCAGGATCCCCAAGGCAGCCCAAGCTGAACCCCCAGACCACTCAGGTGAAATGTGTCTGTTTTTTTGTCAGTCTTATTTTTTTTTTCTATGGTGCTAGGGATCAAACCAAAAGCCATATGCATGCTAGGCAAGTGCTCCATGGCTGAACTCCATTTCCAACTCACCAGGGACATATGGACAACACCCGTAACCTCTGCAGCTGACTTTGATGTGTCTGTTCTGTTCTTCCATTCCACTGTCACCCAAGGTTTATGAGCCCCCCCCCCAAGTCTTGTCTCAGCATGCAGGATCCAAGGATTCCCATCTGCCTAGCCAGGCTTGTCAAGGAGTACATAGAAGAGTTCAGGGTGGGTTTTCCTGAGCTGCAGAATCTTGAAGCTTGAAGGGAGATCCCATCCATCCCCACCTACCCCCCCCATCTATGCTTCTATCTTCAAAGACTGTAGTTTGGTACAGAGAGGAGCCAGACTTTAACAGTAGATATAGGGGGCTCCTGGGTAGGAGAGTGAAAGAGGCCTGGCTCCTTCAGAGGAGGCAAATCTCTCATTGGCTTCCAAACCCAAACCTCCAGCCCTCTGCAAAGAAGGCAGGCCTTGCTTAAGAGGCCCTTTCTGCAGCTCCCACTGGAAATGTGCAGCTCTGGCACCAGCACACTTGTTTTCCAGTGGTCACCCAGGTGGATAGGCAGAGCTTCTATTGCAGGAACCTTTGGGGAAGGACCAGGGCAGGCGGGGCAGGCAGGGGAAGTTAGAAAGGCGGTCACAGGGGTTTCAAGAAGACCCTAGAAGTTAGGCAGGGGGTTGTGGGTGGAAGTTGGAATTAAGGAGAGTGGTTGAAGGGCACAAGTGTAGTGGAGAAAATACTCCAGTTGGTGACAGAGAAGCTCTGTGGGCCCCGGGCAGGGCACTGGGCTGTATCCGATGCCACTTGAGTCTGAGGGTGGGGCAGTAAGGTGGCATATGTTTTCTGTTCAGACTTTTAAGCAGGACCCTCTCCGAGGTGAGCCAGAAGGGTGTTTGGTTCTAGCCACTGCCCCCGGCAGCAGTGCGGCCTAACACAGAATCTTTCTCCAAGCACCCTGGCTTTTCATACAACCTCAAATGAACCCAAACAGCACCCTCTGAACCACAGCAAGGAGACCCAATACAGGGCTGGACCCACCCAGGGGTGTCTGGCCGGATCACCTCCCGCCAGAGCAGCAAGGGGCCCCGGTTTCTCCAGGACCCAGGGGTTCCCGATGGAAATCCTTTCCTGGAGAGCTGCCCTGCGCCCCCCCTGCGCCCCGGGTCACTCCTGGCTTTGTCTCCAGAGGACAGGAAGCTGTTCGTGGGGATGCTGGGCAAGCAGCAGGGCGAGGAGGACGTCAGGCGCCTGTTCCAGCCCTTTGGCCACATCGAGGAGTGCACAGTCCTGCGGAGCCCCGATGGGGCCAGCAAAGGTGACCCCGGCCGCCCCGCGGGACTTCCGGGTGACCTCCTCACTCGGGGCGCTTGACCTCGGCTGGGTTCCGCGCCATCCATCCCGTCCCTCTCTCCCACCCAGGCTGCGCCTTCGTTAAGTTCGGGAGTCAAGGCGAGGCCCAGGCAGCCATCCAAGGCCTGCACGGCAGCCGGACCATGGCGGTGAGGGCGCGGGCTGGGTGAGGGTGAGGCCCGCGGGCGGGCCCGGGCGCGCGGGGGGTCGGGGTCGGGGTCGGGGTCGGGGTCCGGACCGGTCACCGCGCCTCCCGGCCTCGCCCTGCCCAGGGCGCCTCGTCCAGCCTGGTGGTGAAGCTGGCCGACACCGACCGGGAGCGAGCGCTGCGGCGGATGCAGCAGATGGCGGGGCAGCTGGGGGCCTTCCAGCCGGCGCCGCTGCCGCTGGGCGCCTGCGGGGCCTACACCACCGCGGTAGGTGCGGGCTAGGCCGGGAGGAGCGCTCGTGCACGCGCGGGC